GAGAGGAGAAAGAAAGAGATCCCTGGCTTAAACTTTTATTTCTTCTCTTTCCTGGCCATTACCAGCCACCCTAAACAATACCAGACAACCCTAATGTATCAAAAACAACTTTTGGGAATGGTGGTGTCATGCTCTTAAAATTACTTGTCTGGAGGCAAAGACATCTTTTGGGTACCCTATAAAAATTGAGATATTGACCAGGTCTCAGAAAAGCTAGCTATATCTTTTTTTTCCTCAGTCTCTTATGTTGTCTGTCTAGTCTCTGTGTTCTATTCAGGCTTTGTATTATGTCGATCATATGGTCAAGTCCTTTTAAAGTTGATTTGCATGACAAATTTTGAGAAATCAGTAATTGAGTCCATTTTGAGGCTGAATCACCTGGGTTATTTGCTTTGTGAAGACATTCATGTCTCAGCTGATAGGAGGTTTTCCTTGGTCATGGCTAACCTTTATAAATTTCGTTGGCAATCATATTTTTTCATTCCTGGTAGATACGTGAGCATAACTATGTACCCATCTCAAAACTATTGCAGGTTTCCATTCTAATGTCAACACATCCTTATAGTATATTGGTTGACCTAGTTCCTCAGTTTTTTTTTCCTATAACCCAGTGTTGCTCAGCCACAGTTGTTCCTTTTTTTTTAACCACATTAAGAAAATTTAAGAGTTAATAAATCATTATTTAGCCTGTCCTTAGAGGTCTTTACTCTTTGTTTAATGAACATCTCTTTTAAGGTATGATTGGCTCCTTCTACAATTACTTGTCCGGTAGGATTGTATGGTATACCAGTAATATGCTTTAATATTTTGATATGCAAAGAATTGCTTCATCTTACTGGATACATTCGTGGGAACATTATCAGTCTTAATTTGTGCATAATTGCCATTATTTCCAATAAGTGTGTAATTACAAAATCAGCCCTTTCGGAACTTAAAGCAGTTGCCCAGTGAACCCTGAGTATATATCAGTGGTATAGTGTATATACCTTTACTTTCTATATTCTGCAAAATGAAACACATCCATTTGCCATATTTCATTTCTTTGGTACCGCTAGTGTTACTACCAGCAGGTAATGGAGTTTGGTTATACAGAAAACACGTAGGGGGTTTTGAAAATTATTTCTTTGGCTTGTTGTCAAGTGATAGAATATTTTTTAATCATTTCCTGTTAACATGATGTTTTTCATGAAATTTTGAGGCTTCTAGCACATTTCCTATTAGTAATTGGTCAATTTTCTGATTTCTTTCTGTCACTGGGCCTGGCAAACTTGTATGAAACTGAATATGAGTAATATAAAATGGATAGTTTCTACTTTTGATGGCCTGTTGTAATTGCATAAATAATGAAGTTAATTCCACGTTTTCAGGAAAAAATTCAGCAGTTTCTATATGTGAAACAACTCTTTCTGCATATAAAGAATCAATAATTATAATAAGAGATTCAGGAAAATCTAATGATTCCATAAGGATTGAATACAATTCTGATTTTGGAACTGAGATATATAGGCTTTTGATCTGCTTGTTTATTTGTCTGATTTATAACCTGCCATTTTCATCCTTTTTGAATCAGTATAGAATATTGATACCTCTGGAATTGGTGTTACCCTTACAATATGTGGATGGATCCAATTAGTTCTTTTTATAAACTGTATACACTTGATTTTTGAGTATTTGTTATTAATTTTCCCCAAGTAGTTACTACAAGGTCCTTGCCAATCTTCATTGATTACCCATAATGATATAATCTCAGAATTAGTAAGAGATACTACAATTTCTAATATGTCTGTTTCTGACAATTGATGCAATCTTATTCTACCTTTTATAATTATTTCAGAAATTTTTTTCTATATATGTCTTCATTTTTTGCTTTGTTTATGTGCTAAGAAAATCCATTCCATATTATCTTTCCTTTACATAATGAACTCTGTAGGAGAATGAGTTGAAGGCAAAATGACCAAAATACAGTCAAGGTTATAATCAATTTGATCTACATATGAGTCTTGCAGTCTTTATTCTACCAGAGTTAACTCTTTTTCTGCTTCAGCTGTTAGATACCTTGAACTGTTTAAATCTGAATCCCTTTGTAATGTTTGAAACAAAGTAGTTAACTCCTAAATATTTAATCTAATCAAAGGCCTCAGCCAGTTAATCTCTCCCATTAATTTTTTAAAATCTTCAAGAGTTTACAATTGGTCCCTGTGGATCTGTACCTTTTGTGGTCAGATTTTTTGTTGATTTATTTTGTAACCCAAATAGCTAAGGGAATCACCTCTTGGTATATTTTATGGAGCAATCTGTAATCCCCATCATGGCAGATTTTTTTTGTGTGTGTGTTTCCTTAAATATTTTGTCTAAAGTATCTGCACCAGAATCAGCCAACAAAATATCATTCATGTAATGATAAATGATAGATTGAGGAAATTGCTTATGAATTATTTTTAATGGTTGTCACACAAAATGTTGACATAAAGTTGGACTATTTAACGGTCCCTGTGGGTATACCTTCCAATGGTATTCTTTTATTGGACCACTGTTGTTCAGAGTAGGTAGTAAGAAAGCAAACCTTTCCCTATACTGTTCATGCAAGGGTATTGTGAAAAAACAATATTTTAAGTCTATTATTATTACTATTACTATTACTATTACTATTATAGGCCATGACCTGGGAAACAAAGAAGGTTAAGGAATTCCAGGTTGTAAAGGACCAATTGGTCGAATTACTCTATTTATTGCTCTTAAATTTGTTAGCATTCACTGGAGAGATGGCTCAGTGGTCAAGGGCACTGTCTGCTCTTCCAAAAGACCCAAGTTCAACTCCTAGCAACCACATGACAACTCACAACTTCCTATAACTCCATTTCCAGGCAGTCTGACACCCTCACATCAATGCACATAAAATTAAATTAAATTTAAAAATGTGTTATCATTCTCCATTTTAAAAAAAAAATTCTTTTCTACAACAAACACAGGGGCATTCCATGGGCTGGTAGAATCTTCTATATGTTGAGCCTCTAGCTGCTCTTATAACAGTTGTACAAGTTTTTGTAATTTTTCTTTTGTTATGGACCATTGCTCTTGTCACACAGCAATGGGTAGGTGTCTTTGATAACAGACCTTGCCCATTTTAGAGGCAAGGCTGTTAGCATTTAAACAGTGGCCCCTATTATAAATTTGGAAACTTAATCCCTGTGATGTCCAGTATTTGGACAATGGACACAGCTTGTAATTGTTCTTCATCACATGTATCAATACCTTTCCCAGGAGCACAAACCATATCACCCCTGATTTCCTCATTTGCTGTGTCTGGTATTACAGGAATATTAATTTGAGTACCCCATTGTTGTAAAAGATTCCTTCCCCATAATTTTATGTGCATGTTGAGCCTCATGAGGTCTCAGCTTGACTCTTTGCCCTTCTGGACCCACACATTTAATTATTGAACACTTAGTCTTATTTGAGGTAATTTACTAATTCCTATAAACTATGTATAAACCTTATGAAGTGGCTAATCTGGATTCTAAGATTTTTGGGTCAGCATACTGATACCAGCTTCTGTATCCACCAATCCATCTATTTCAACACTATTCATTTGTACCATTAAATTGGGTCTCCGATCGTTAACCACTGTTTGCCAGAACACACATTTTTCCCATATGCTCAAATGAGCCCTAAAATAATTAAAATTAATTTTATAAAACTGTTTATTTTCCTTAGTTTCTCTCTTAACCTGGCTATCAAACCAATAATTGAGACTATTATTTTAACAAGCTTTGCAGCATAAGAATTGAGCAGTTATTAACCTATTTTTTGACTCTCTAAGCTAACTTGGCTTCCTCTCAGCGTATATTCCAGAGACACTTGCACTTTGCGGTTTTCCTTGTTGAGCTCTCTCTTCTAGTCTCTCCTAGACATCTCCCATGGCTGAATCCCCTACTTCCTCTATGTTCTTCTACCCTGGCTGGCAGGAAGTCCACCCCTACTCTCTCGACTGCTCAGTGATTGGCTGTAGCTGCTTTTTTGGCTTATTAGTGGACAACTGGGGAGCTGTGTTTACACAACATTGAGACAGGATATTCTCAGAACAAGGCTTGCCACCAGATATGGGTGGGGTACAGAAATCAGCATTTGAATTACACAGTGACCTTCTATCTACAGTTAGTCATCTAAATCAGAAGAATGCTTATCCCTTTTTAAATTGGCAGTATTGACTACTACTAGTGCTTGTATGTTAAGTGCTTCACCACTCCCACTTAAAATAAACAGCATTCTTTTGGAGGGGTAGGGGGTTTGCTTTTTCAAGACAGGGTTTCTCAGTGTATCACTGGCTGTCCTGGACTCATCTTGTAGACCAGGCTGGCCTCAGACTCAGAGTTCCTCCTGCCTCTATAATCCTCTGGGATTGCAGGCATGTGCCACTGCTCCCAGCCCTATAAACGTTCTTATGGTTATGACAGTTGAGACTCAGAGAAGTTGAGTCCACCTAGCAGCAAGATAAGTATTACACTTAGCGGTATACCCCAGACTCACCAGCAGCTAAGCTAAGCTGGGCCTTGCTTTGTTACAAGAGTCCTCATTATTGCCCTGCTATTATGGACAAGACAGCTGAAAGCTGTGCGGAGTGGAGCTCAGTAGAGCACTGCCCTCGCATGGATGAAGGCCAAGGCTTAATCTCCAGTTAAGGGTTTGTTGAATGTTTGTGGGTCTGATTGCAAGTTTAGATCCACTTCTGTGGGTGGTTCCTGATAACAAGTTAAATTTGGTTATTTTTAAATTGCTCCTCCCCAAGGGAATCATTTGGAAAGCTATTAATGTCATTTTTCCGTTTTTTTTTTTTTTAAAGTTTTCCTTCAATTTAATATTTCATTTCAAACTTACAAAATAATTTTGATAAAAGAAAGATTACCTAATGTTAACTCTTAATACTCTGAAGTTGTAATAATTAAATTTTTTCAATGCTGAGTTACATAACTGTTTCCCAATTTTCTGTCTTTATTCTACAGAATGGTAAATAATATTCTACAGGCTGGCTCTCTCTGCAAAGGCCATTGATCCACCTCATGTAAAGTATGCTCAGCTCCTTTCCAGTGGTGTAAGTATCAGATTCTCAACTCTCAGCCTGTCAGCGCTTTAATAATGCTAAATGTCTAGGATTGTGACTTGGATTTGACAGCAAATGCTTTTAGAATTCAAGTAATTCTTTTAAGTAGCATTATTTCTTTATGTGTTGGGGATGGTTCTTCATTTGCTTCAGCTTGTGTGTGGAGGTCAGAACAGGTTGGTAGAAGGTGGTACTCTCTTTCTTTCTTGTGGGATCATAGTCAGGTCATTATGTTTAGCGTCAAGCACTTTTCCCATTGAGCCATCTCACCAGCCCAAAATCAAAGAAAGTTTTGGGAAACTATTCAAATGGTACATTTCTTAACATGGAAGTAAACAATATAATTATGTGGTGAGCAGTAAGGTTTCATACCAGTGAGCTTTTTCGTTCTCTTTTCTCTTTCTTTCTTTCTTTCTTTCTTTCTTTCTTTCTTTCTTTCTTTCTTTCTTTCTTTTTTTTTTTTTTACCATTTTTACTGTCCTTGTATTTTGACATCTTTTTCATTTAAACGTTTTCATATTATTTTTTGAAAAATTATTTTTATTATGTACATGTGTTGGTATGTGCAGGTGCCGTAGGAAGCTAGGAGCGTCAGCTTCTCCAGAACTGGAATGGTGTTAGCTGTTTTTTTTTTGAGTGCTCAGGACCAAGCTGAGGTCTTTTGCAAGAACGGCAGGTGCTCTAACTGCTGAGCCTCCTCTCCAGCCCATACGTATTATTTTTAACTGTTTTAACAAGTCTAGAAGCTTGTCAGGTAGATGGTTAAGTGTTGGAGAGAGTTCTTGTTGCAATTTTAGGGATAAATAGACTACAAAAAACATGTTCTCTTAGTGCTTCTTTTGTGTGCAAATTCCTAAGGACACCTAAGCCATTTCTTTCTCCCTACTGCCAACAGTAACGTAGTTTTGCCTATTAGCTAATGTATTTGCTAGCTGTTCTTTGGAGAGATACAAATGGAGATGGTGTTGTTGTGTTGAAAATGTTCTTGTGCTGGAATATGAACTGTAACCACTAGTTCATATGAAATAGACCTCAGAATAAAAGTATTACGGGAATTTCAGAAATCAGAGAAGATAAAGGGCCTATTAGCTCATTAAGTGCATCTTTAGCGTCTAGTGCAGAGTGCCTTCAGCCTAAGTAATTTCTAAAATTTGGTAGAGTCTGTTTCACTTAAATTTCTTCTGTTTTGGTTGACAGTTCTGTAATCTAATAAGTAGACATTAAGATTGTTGTTCTTTATATATTATTTAGTTTTTTCTTTAAAGCCCCTCACCCATATACACACAATGACAGGAGCTGTCGCCTGAGTCTCTGCTGCATTGCAGTGCCCTAGGAAAGGCACTTTAGCTTTGAAACTTTGCCCTCTCCACCCAACTGCTTGCTTGCTCACTTGCCTGCCTTCTGCTTTCTTTGTCTTTTTTTTTTTTTTTTTTTTTGTCCTTTTAATCCTTACCCCTGATTTTTTTGTTGTTGTTGTTTTTGTTTGGTTGGGGGGGGGGGGAGCGTTGAGTGGGGGTGGTGAAGGTTGGTTTTTGAGATAGATGGGTTCTCTGTGTAACAAAGCTCTGGCTGTCCTGGATTCACTTTGTAGACCAGGCTGACCTTGAACTCACAGAGATCCTCCTGCCCCCACCTCCCAAGTACAGGGGCTAAAGGTGTGCGCCACCACGCCACTGCCTTTTTTTTTTTTTTTTTTTTTTGTGTGTGTGTGTGTGTGTGTGTGTGTGTGTGTGTGGTTGGAGTTGCACTGTGTCTAACATAGCCTGGAACTTGCTTTATACCTCAGGTTGGCCTTGAACTCACAATCATTCTGCCTTATCCTCCTGAGTGTACAAATTGTAGGTGTGTACTACCATATCTGGCTTTTTTACATCAAATTTTTATATCTGTCTGTAAAGTTGGATGTTTTCAATTGAGTCTTTTTTATAGATAGTGGAAATAAAGAAATGATCAAAATATAAACTCACATATCACACAATTCATTGGCACACAAAGAACACTCCCCCACACTACCACTTAGGTTCACAGTTCTGTTTTGTTTTTTGAGACAGGGTCTTGTGTAGCCCAGACTGTCCTTAAACTTGCTACATGGCCAAGGATATCCCTAAACTCCTAATCCCCTTTCCTCAGTCTCCTGTGTCAGCACACTTGGAAAGGTTTACAGATCTTGAGGAGTGGGTAAGTAACATGAACAAACCTGAGAGGTTTGTACTTGATGTACAGTTGTGGTACATCTTAACCATATAGTGAGTTCCTAAGCTTTTGAAGCTTAGTTATTGAGTTAAGTGTAGAACTGACTTCTGTATGACCTAGGTATATCTTTACAGGAGTGACAGTTTAGTTTGATCTTCACTGTAGATATCTGTGAAGTCATGAAGAGAACACATAGAGATCACCTTAATTGACTGCTGAATGCTTGGCCCCAAACAAAACATTTATGTCACACCTTCCAAGGCACAGAACATTGAATAGAGGGAGCGGAAGGACTGTGAGAGCCACATGATAGAGAGGAGTCCTATCTTATGTGATGCGACTGTTACAATCATGAATGCAGTAGTCGGTGCATTGTATATACATATGATATTGTCACAATTTTAAAAATAATTCAATTAAAATAGAAAACAAAATAGTAAAGACTTGCTAAATGAAAACAGCAATCAGGATTTGTTTTGCTTTGTTTTGTTTGAGCACAGCACTGGAGGGCAGTGCTGGTATTGATAGGTGAAGCTTTGAAGGTGAAGCTTCAAAGCTTTCAAAGTGTCTGTCAAATTCTTGAGTTTATTTAAACTTTTGAAAGCCAGTCGTTGTAAGTCAGCACCTTACTACAGGGTATAGGGAGGTTTAATGAAAAAAGGGAAAGTTCTCAAGTGGATGGGTTGAGGCTGCTCTCATATACTGGAGTCTGATGAGGCTTAGTATTCTCTGGTGTATAATCTCAGCATTCAGGACATGAAGGCAGAAGCAGTGTGTGACGCCAGCCTGAGCTATGTAGCAAGACTCTGTCTCAGAAATGCCAAAACTGAACAAGGCACTTTACATTGAAGACTAAAAGGAAAAGCTTCGTGAGCTACGTCCTCATAGTGATGGACATGGTGAGCTCTGCTGTGTCTTACAGACATATTTGTCATTCATGGCAGTATCTGAAATCATTTCAAAGTTGCATAACAGATTTTACTCCGAACAACTCAAAATGGAACTCAGTCAGTGCTAATTAAAAACAACAACAACAACAACAACAACAAAAATAAAGTGTGTTTGACACATTGGAATGTAATTACATCTTTTATTATGAGGATATTTACACCATGGTCTGTAGTCATAGACTGTTCTTAGGCATTAGTCAGTTAACCTAATAGTTTGAGTTATAAAATAATGTTACCCTACTATGAGCTCAGTTCTCTGTATGACGTTATTTCTTACTTCTTACTGTGTGTCATTTTCTTATTTTGAGGAGGCACTCCTTTGTTAATAGTAATCAAGAAAGAAAGGAATGTACATAAGCAGTAAGAAGGGCCTGGACTGTTTTGACTCACCCTACAGTGACCACATATGGAAGACAAAATGTGTTCTGCCTAGTCATTCTGGACAAGATAAAAACAGCAGAAATAATCTGGGAGAAAACTTTGTTTGCCAAAAAAGTTTTAACTGCTAATACTTTAAAATTCATGTCGTTTTTTGCCACCATGATTTCAATGCTAACTAGTAATTTCTGAATGCTTTAGCTAGACTCTTGTGTTGTCCATCTTTGGAACACCATTTAGAAAGGTATATCTTGGGCCTGTGGCTTATCTATTATTATTGCAAAATGCAGTTAATGTCTCAAGATGTACTGTGGTGTTACAGTATCAATTTAGGAATTGAGCCATAAGTCCTGAACTGAATTATTCTTTTCTATTTTAATCTTTGTCTGTGTTACTCGAGCGTTAAATTTTTCACATTATTTTCAATTACTGCTAGCTAGAGCCTGCATTCAAATTAGTGATTTAAAGTAAAAACTATCCCTTATCCTGTGAGTTATCTTTGTCCATGAAAAAAGGAATTTAGCCCCTCCATATTATCTTCTTTTGTCGTAAAAGAATCGCTGGCATTATGGTCCTAGATGACCTTTATAGGTCATCTACTGCTGTACTTTTACGATGCTGTACTTACATTAGGTAAATTATGAGAAGTACAAATGGAAACTGGTATAATATATCCTGTCATGTTTATTGATGCACATTGGTGCAGTATTCTCAATACCCACGTCGTGTGTGTGTGTGTGTGTGTGTGTGTGTGTGTGTGTGTGTGTCTATGTGTGTATGTGTGTGTGTATGTTCTTGGTGGCATACTATGTCTTTGGTGTCATGTGCATGATGTGATCCTGCCCTGGAGGATGCCCTTGTTCCTTCTCTTCCAAGTCACCATTCAGTCCTGGCAGCTATGACCACTGCGTTAGCTCCTTTAGCAGCAGGGCCTGCTCTTGGTGCAGAGTACAGACATCCATTTAAACACAGTGAAGTGTAAAGGGAAGCTGATTGCCCCACCTAAGGAAAGAAGAGCAGGACTGTAAGGGGCTTAAGAATTATGAGGACAACAGTAGGAATGCTACAGGCTTTCCCCTTCTTCCCAGCACTTTAAGCTTGTCTGCTTTTTTCTCCCACCAGCTCCTGCTTCAGTGTGTGAGTTTACCAGATGAAAGTCTTTGTGTGGCTTAGCACAGTTATATGTGGTGTCCATCTTTCCATAGGTGAAGTAGAGCATTTTGAAGAGAGCCAGGGTTAGATTCCTATGCAGTCTGTTCATCAGGAGTTGATTTCTATGAGTAGCTGACTTAAGAGCATGTGCTTAGAAATGACTAGGTATTCTGGGCAATCAAAGTAACAGGTGGGCCCTATTTCCCCCTTAATGATTTTTGGAATGAAAGTGGTTTTCAGTTGTTGATGATTCCTAAATGGTATAAATTATTTCAGATACTGTGACATTTTATGCTTATAGACAGTGGTGTCATAAGAGGGAGACTTGAAGAATAGCACAGGGATTACTGTCTGCTCTGAACAGGATAGGAAAATATGGTTTGTTTCCGTTTTTGTTGTTGTTTTGTTTTTTTTTTGAGACAGGGTTTCTCTGTGTAGCCCTGGCTGTCCTGGACTCACTTTATAGACCTAAAACTCATAGAGATATACCTGCCTCTGCTTCCCTGAGTGTCAGGACTAAAGGCATGTGCCACCACACCTAGCTAGGAAAGTATGGTTAATGTTCCTGCACATGGATAAAATAGTCCATAAATTTAGACATCTAAGGGAAGAACAATTTGTGAAGTACCTTGATTGGATGAGAACTGAAGATACTAAAACAGGCCTTTTATTTCCAAAGGAAGGTAATTGTGAAGATGAAAAAAATATTTATGAGGAAAAGCTGGAATTTGCCAAGCCAGTAAATTCAGGGATAAATTACTTTGGTTTGGCAACTACTTTAAAAAAAAAAAAAAACAGCCAGAGAGGTAAGCTCAGTGGCTAAGAATGCATACTGCTTTTGAAGAGTACTTGAGTTTTACTTTAGGACAGGTTTCACTAAATTGAAAGATACAAAAGTATTCTAAGCCTCAGTTTCTTTAATGGTTCATAATGTAATATTAAAACGAAACAAAATAAATTGGCCTATCACAGAGAATTGCTATGAGGATTAGGTGAGGTTATATCATATAAAATTCTCACCCAGTTCCTGAGTAAAAGTAACTACGCAGTTGGATTTTCGACAGCGCAGATGAATGAAGAAGTAGTAAGCTCTCCAACAGGGTTAGGAGACTGGCCTAGAACACTCTTGTCTTTAAAGGATTAAAAAAAGCTCTTGACCTGTTTCTCTTAGTAATTGCTTATTGCAAGGCTACTCCGTATCATATTTGTCACTAGAAAATACAAATTTAAATAGAGATAGTTATCATTTTGTTTTTTTCAAGACAGGGTTTCTCTGTATAGCCTTGGCTGTCCTAGACACTTTGTAGACCAGGCTGGCCTCAAACTCACGTCTATCCACCTGCTTCTGCCTCCCTGAGTGCTGGGATTAAAGGCATTGGCCACCGTGCCCAGCTTTAGTTACCACTTTCAAAAGTCCTGAATTCAAAAGTCAGATTTTTGGGGCTACAGAGCTAGCCCAGCAGTTAAGAGAACCTTCTGTGTTTGCAGAAGACCCAAGTTGGGTTCTCAGCCCCCATCTTACAAAACCATTTGTAACTCCAGTTCCAGGACGTCCAGTGCCCTCTTTTGGTACTGTGTGTATTTGGTGACTATATATACATGCAGAGTAATACTCAGACATACAGAATAATAAAGATAAATACATACATCTCTTTAAAAGTCAGCCTTTTTTAAAAAAAGTAATTCAAGAAGAGAGCATTTTTATGATATAGCTAGAGCAGTGGTCCTCAACCTTCTTAATGTTGTGACCCTTTAATACAGTTCCTCCTGTTGTGGTGACCCCAATAATAAAACTATTTTTGTTGCTACTTTATAATTATAATTTTGCTACTGTTATGATTCATAACATAAATATCTGTTTATCCAAATGTTTGACCTTCAAAAGGGTCATGACCCATAGGTTAAGAAGCACTGGGCAAATGTCCTAACAAAATATTAATTTTCTCTCTAAGAAAACATTTTCTGGAGTGTTTCTACAGTGTCTTATGCAAGTTAGGGTGGAAGCATATAGAATCAACTTTCTGAGACATGAATAGCTCCAGTTGCCTGTCCATATAAGGATGCATTCAGAGAGCATGCTGCAGAGATGAGAAGCTCCTGAGTGCTAAGAATTAGAAGCAGTGCTTGATGCGTTGTTGTATGCGCTTATTCCCCACTGATGTATTGGTATTAGTAGTTACTAGTATTCGCTTAGACTCGGTCAGGCAAAACATTTGTCACTGAATATCCTAAGAGGTCTTGATCAATTTTGCTGATATTTGGGAAGGCAATTCCCATTAATATGCTACTACGCAACAATATACTTCTAGATTGAAAAAAATAAAACAGAACCTGTACATGATTATATAGTCTGGGCCTGATGCACTATATGTACTTTACTTGATGAATTGATGTTTTGACATAATTCACAATTTGCTGCCACAGTTTGGTTGCTTATCAAAACTGAAACATATAAATTTCATTCCTTTATAAGTTGGGTTTTATGTTATAACTGATGTACTTCTACTAAACTTGGAATCTGTACCAATCCATTTCACAACAAGAAAGTCTATCCAGACTAATGTTTTTTTCTTTTATTTTTTGTTGTGTGGCGTATCTCTGTGTTACTAATATGTATATGAATGCATGTGGAGGCCATAATACATTCTCTCTACCTTATTTTTTGAGACAGAGTCTCTCACTGAACCCACTGATGATGAGCTTTGCTGGTCTTGTCTCTGTCTCCCCAGGGCTAGAACTGGCATGTGCTGATGTTCCCAGCCTTTGCATTGGTGCAAGAGGTTGAACTTAGGCACCCCTGCTTACACCACAAACATGTCACTTGACTGAGCCACCTCCCTGACTCTTACGATTTTATGTTCAGTGAACAGAGCTAGTGCAGAGCTCAAGCCTTTTCTACTTGAATTGATAGGAAAATTCTTGATGATGAAATGTTTTTTGTTAGTTGATAATAAAAGCACTTCATTCTTATCCTTCTCTCTTTCCCCTCCAGTTTGCTGGAAACCATGTCTCACTATACAGATGAACCCAGATTTACCATAGAACAGATAGATCTGCTCCAACGTCTTCGGCGTACTGGGATGACCAAACATGAAATTCTGCATGCATTAGAAACTTTGGACCGTCTGGATCAAGAGCATAGCGATAAGTTTGGAAGGAGATCCAGCTACGGGGGAAGCGCATATGGAAACAGCACCAACAATGTCCCAGCATCTTCCTCTACAGCCACAGCTTCCACCCAGACCCAGCATTCGGGAATGTCTCCATCACCCAGCAACAGTTACGATACCTCCCCACAGCCTTGCACTACCAATCAAAATGGGAGGGAGAACAATGATCGATTGTCTACGTCCAATGGAAAGATGTCACCATCTCGCTACCATGCGAACAGCATGGGGCAGAGGTCATACAGCTTTGAGGCCTCAGAAGAGGACCTGGATGTGGATGACAAAGTGGAGGAGTTAATGAGGTTAGTCACTTTGCCTGTTCAGAATTCCCCCAAACATCTGTGTTTGTTAAGGTTGTTTCTAATCAGGTTGTACTTCAGACATTTACCAATATCAACCATGACTTCTCCTCCCTTCTTTGGAAATGAAAGTGAAACTTGAACTTGTGATTTTAGTTCAGATTTTATTTTTTTCCTTTTCTATTTGAGGCTTTTTGCTGTATGATGAGACAGTTTTAGTCTCTTGAATAGTGAAAGGGCTTTCTCTGTTTATGGCTTTAGCCGACAGTTTCTGACTGACAGAAGTTCATTTACTCCAATCCTCAATGTTTCATTGTAAATACTTTTTCTAAGTGGTATGATAAAATTACCATGCTAGAGAACATATGCATTCTTCATTTTTCCTTGCAGCATTTCAGTCAGCGCAACAATTTAAGCAACTATTGGGCCAAAAGTAATTTTCAGTAAGAAATACAGATGCATACCACCCTGGCCCTGAACAGCTGAAGTTTTAATTTTAGCAGTAGGCGCAGTGCCCACATGCGCTTCGTACGTCATCAGTCACTAAGTAAGCGTGTTCACACTGAGTTTTTACACAAAGAAAGGAAGCCTATTTTCAAACAAGGTAAGCAGGACTTTGTACCAGACCTAGTTCACTGTAAGGGTGATAGACGTTTGTTTTCTTCCATCCTGTGTTGAGAACTAGGAATTTTCCTTCGCACGTGATGTGGGCTCAGCATGTTAGCCGAGTAGACTCATAAGGACATTCTGTTTTGAGCTGGTGAGATGGTTCAATGGATCAAGGTGCTTGCTGCCAAGCCAGAGAGCTTGAGTTCCACCCCTGGAACCTGCACAGTGGAAGGAAAGAACAGTTCTCCAAAGTTGTCCTCTAACTACAAGCATGTTTCGGCACAGGTACTCCTGCACACATATACTATACACAGATATATACATACGGTCAATAAGTGGTAATTTTTAATTTTTAAAATAAAAATTGAAAGATATACATGTTAATTAAAGTTAGGAAACCATGAAAAGGTAGCATGTTTTTACTTTGATTAAAAATAAAAGCTAGGTGTGGTCACATGTCTGTAATCCCAACAGAGATTTGGAGGGCTGAGGCAGGAAGATTGCTTGTCAGTTCAAAGCTAACATGGTAACTTGTAAACCTTTTTGGCCTCCAGAGCATGGACCTTTCTAGAAAACAACGCAAATGAGGCAGACTTTGACAAATATAGTAATACCTTAGGATGCCACACTCATTTTCAGAGGCTTCACATTCTGTACTGAATGGTCGAAATGAGGGAGTTTTTACAGGCCTTTACAAACAGAAATGACAAAAGCATTGTTTAGTGGAGTTATATAAAAATGGTAGCCTTGGGCTGGAGAGATGGGCTGACTGGTCAAAGGCACTCCTTGCAGAGGACCTGAGTTTGTTTCCCAGCACCCACATAATAGTTCACATTCATAAGCTCTCCTCTGACCTCTGCATGCACCAAGCATGCATGTAGCATATATATATATATATATATATATGTAAAACGCTCATTCACATAAAATAATCTAAAATTTTAAAAAGGTAAGAGCCTGAAGATAAATTTCACTTGATAGTGAACAGAATTATAGACTTGTCAGAAGTGAAACCAAAAGTTATAACTGAGTTATACCTGGTCCTAAAGATTTCTGACATCAAGGCAGAATGATGATGACTTCACAGTGCTGTATGAAGATCCATCCTGTGGCTCCTCTGTGATGAGACAGCCTTAAACACATGACTCTTGTGAGTTTGTTTTCAGGGTAGCATTGCCACGTATGGAATTTTGGGTAGGTGTAATGAAGAGCATCACATTCAGCCACAGTCAGGGTCAGCCAGCTTTTAGCACTTGCAGTCCAGGAGACTTGACGTGACTTTGGGCCATGCTCAGCTGTAAACCTGTGCCCAAAGCTCTGCTGTTGCTGGTGACTTTGTTAGTGCTGATCACTGAACCCAGGGCTTTATTGTCCACCGAGTCATATCCTTGGCTATAGCTGGTTTTTAGAACTTAGCATATATCATTTTCCAGTTTAAAAAGAAGAACCGTTTGGGTAAATACATTATTTTATTTATTGAAATTTACTTTAATTATCCTGAGTAGATAAGATAGCAAAATAGCATTGTTGTGTAGTTATCAGGACACTTTCTTCTTCCCTTTCTCTGCGTCTAGCTTAGAGCAGTTCTGTGACATTTAGTTAGCTAGGGTCCTCTAGACCTCTGGTATCCCATGATACTTTAGTGTTCTCCCACTCCAGCTTTGGTCAAGTGTGCCCTCCTCACCTTCATGAAGTTTGCAGAGAATAGCCCTTCTTAGGACATAAGAGAAGTTAGCTGAATGGCTGCTCTTATAACATTAGCAATCCTGACAGCCATGCTGTATGGTTGATCAGAAAAACTAAGGCTCATGGAAATAATTTTCTCAAGAGAGTTTGACTATTGGTCAGCTGAGCCTAAGTTATATCCCATGTCTTTGTTATCATGGTGTATTTTACCACTGAAATTATTTATGCTTATAGATTTAATAAGGCTTTAGGAAAGGGATTTAATATAATTCTTCAAGACAGTGTAAATGGCCTTACTGAGTTTGCCATTCTTCTTCTCCAACATGAGAAGGCACTTACTAAACAGTGGGTTTTTATTTGTTGAGATATTAGAGAAATTTTCAAATAGTTGCTTTACCTGAGTATTCTGTGTCTGTCTAATGATATACTGTCCTTGCTGCTTACTCAACACTGGTGACATGACAGTCACCTGGAATTGGTGGACTCTGGTAGGAAGCATGGATATCTGAGTGCCTTCCTGCCTCCTGTGCTGTGTAAGATCTACCTCCTACTTGCCCACAGCCCTAACCTGCAGGTGCTACACTGTATGACATCCTTTAGTCTATATTACAATATATAATTTGAAGGTATATAATGGAGATGTGTGTGTGTGTATGTGCAGCTTCTGCAGGTTATAAGTGTACCCTTTATCATTTGTTAAAGACCCAGAAATTTTCTTGTGTTGAATTGGAATCAAAAAAGAGGAAAAAGAAAGTCAAAATAGCATGAAAATCCTCCGTAAGTAATTGAATGTGCCACTTTAGGAAGGACTGAAAGCCAACAATGAAGACTTATTTTATATTAGGACATTTTAAACGGCCTATTATTATAGGGATGCTTGTCTGCGTCTGCTAATAGGGTATATCAAGGTTTTCCTTTGACCATGTATGTATTATAAGATAATGTAAATGAGGCTTATTGGAATTAGTAATGCTGTATATTAGGTATGTTTCTCTACACTACCTATACAGTATTTCGTTACTATTTTGTACTAAATTCTGTAAGTTCATTCCAAGTTGGTTATGTATAGGCCTAACACTAAAACAGGTCAAGCATTCTTGAGCCACAATGTTTTAAAACTCAACACTTCAAGTGAGAAATTCATAGGCACGGAGTTACTTAAGATACTGTCCCAAGTTACATTTAGTCTTTCTGTATAGATTATGTAATACATAATTGAATTTTGTGTTTATAATTGGGTTCTGCCCTAAGATACTTCATTATAAATATGAAAATAGTCCCAATTTTAGAAAAGAAATTCTGGAAAGACTTCTGGTCTGATAGGCCTCAGGTGGGGCGCATAGCCTGCATTTGCGTGCAGGCAGGGTGTTTATGCTCTGTAAGAAAGCAACACCACTAAGTGGTGGTGCTCTGTGCCTCTGTCTTCTGCACCTAGAACAGCTGTCCTTGTAATAGTCTTTCTTAAAATCGTGCAGACGGAGAAAGGCATGAGTGTCTTTCAAGTGTGAAATACACTGTTTTGGCTTCATCTTGGGGTGACTTTGAGCTAGCTCCCATATAACATTCAGAATGCCGGGATGTGTTAACTTGGAGAGTATGAGTCATCTTAAAGCATATCATTTTAAATTGTGAGCCTTTTAACATGCCTTCTTCCAGAAAACAAATCAGTGTCATTTTGAATCACCACAAATAGCCTTTCTATCCTGATTTGGAAAACATAAACATACTTGAAAATAACAATTTAAAGCTGTTATATAAATTATCTGTATCAGGTTTTTCATTATAGAGCTTTTAATCTCTAGAAAAATTTTACTCATTAAAGAGTCTTTGTGCTAAAGAACTTTTCAGGCTAGTAGGATAGATGACATGGTTAGGAGCATTAACACAGAGCACTATATCTATAGTACAATTTAAATGCTAATAGTTAGCCTACAAAATGGGATCTTCTTTGTAAGCCATGGCGATCAATGAGACCTCTCTAGATAAATTACAGTTACATTGTGTCTTTTTAAAAGGTAGAAAGCCAGGTGTGATGGTACTCTTCTGGGATCTGAGTACTTGGGAGGTAAAGGCAGGAGGATTGCTGTGAGTTCAAGACCAGCCTTGGCTACATAGCAAGTCCCTGCTTCAAAACAAAACAGTGGCAGAGAACATTAGAAACAGAACAGGGTGGTGGTACCACTTAGATCTAGTACTCCAAAAGTTGAGGCAAGAAGACCTCTGGTTCAAAGTCATCCTGGCTTAATTTTAAGACCCCTGCCTCATAGTCCTATTCTCATGTACATATATACATACATACAGACAGACAGACAGACAGACAGACAGACAGACATGTTCATGCATACATACATACAAATTTTAAAAGTGATTTGTCGGGGGCTGGAGAGATGGCTCATGGGTCAAGAGCACTGACTGCTCCTCTATAGGATGCAGGTTCAATTCCCAGCCCTCACATGGCAGTTGCCACAACTACCGTGTAATTCCAGTTCCGGGGATCCATCCCACTAGGCATGCATGTGGTACACATATTTGTGCATGTAGGTAAAATACCCATACACGTAAAATTAAATATATCTTTTTTTTAAGTAATTTGTTGAAAAGCATTCCTGGTGAGTTCTTTCATATATAGTAGGATAATAGTGGAATGCTTAATCAGTTGTGAAAACAAAGGCAGTGGCACTGACACTTAGACAGGCGGGGTCCATCCTGCTGGAGGAGTCCCCCGATGAATGTGGGCCTTGATTTGGAAACAGTAGCAGGAAGAAGTGGCATGTACTTCAGGTGCCTCAGTTGTGATCAAGTGGTTGCTCATGTTGGAAGTAAAAAGTGAAGCCAGAGAAATGAGTTTAATTCACTAAGACTTCAGCAGTAGACAGTCTTGAGGCATGTGAGGTATTGTGGGGAAGTGGAAGAAGGGACTCATTCTCTTTAGGCAAAATGTCAAGGTTTCAACAAAGAGAAGGAATATGGAATAGAAGATGAGAGTCCTGGTTGTGTAAATAATGTTTCGCACTAAAAAATGGGTGATTCCACAAGCGAAAATGGCAGTTATAGGAGAGGTTGAAGAAGACAAAGAAGTAAGCCAGCCCAGTAGGCTGGATATGGACAGTGAAGGCAAGTACCTAGTGACTATAGGCAAACCAAACGGGTATTCCTCTAAAGTGACTTTGGAACACTTCATCCACGGTCTGTTGAAGTGCCTGGTCTAAGACTTAGACTGATGGATGTCTTACAGTTAGAGCTGATTATTTGAGTCTTCTTTTCTTTGGGTCCTGTCTGACTGTTTTCTAGAAATAGCAGCTTGTGTTTATATGATACATTTAAAATTTCAGAACTTTCTTCTTCAAAGAAATTACTTTAACACGGATTATATGCATGTATGTGTATATATTTATCTCATCTTGTTTTTTACTTCATTGCTTGAAGGAAAATTTTAAAGGCCTTTTTTGTCAATGCCAGAGATTGGACCCAGGCCCTTGTCCATGCATGCTAAGCAAGTATACTGCCACTGAGCTATATCCATGACCTCTTTTTTTCCCCCTGAGACAGACTTATGGTTTGTTTGTTTTAGTTAAGTTATTCACTTTACATCTCAGTTGTAGCCCTCTCCCTCCTCCCCTCCCAGCCCCTCCTCTCTATTTGTACCTCATTCCCCAGTTGCCCTCCCCTGCTTAAAACCCTTTGAAATTTGGGGAGGGAAGGGGTACCAGCAGGAATGGAAAAGAGGAGAGGGAGAGGACCAACAGAAGTAGAGAAGGGGAGAGGAAAGAGATCTGGAGGAGGGTAGAGAGAAGGCACCAGTGGGAGTGGAGAAGGGATGGTGGGGGTTCATGGCAGCCAAACGAATGGGTCAAAGTGCACTGTATACATGTGTGAAAATGCCATACTGAGACTCATTATTTTATACAGTTAATGCACACTAATTATAAAAATGAAAGCCTTTGAAAAGCAAGTGTTAATGTTCTTGTTTTATTAAGTGGTGAAACCAGAGCACAACTTTATTGAGTGGCTTTCCCTCATATATTTTTGTCTTTTAGGGAATAGATGCTCTAGAGATTGAGACCAGAAAGGTCTTACGATACTGGCCAGGCATTTAGTCTTTAGTATTTAGCATTTTTTTTTTAAGTGTCTATGGTAAATTGGTAAAGAGCCTAGGTGTATGCATACACATGTGTTTTAAAACTTACTGTGGATGCTTTAGATATATGCATTGTTATAAGAATGTATTCTTTGAGGTGGTAAGTAGGTTCTGCTTTCTAAACATTGGGAACTCTTCCTGTCTTGCTATAGTCCTTTTATAATGTCATATTGCAAGGCAGTGAGTAATTCACAAACTGGTTACATAGTTGAGTGTTATCTGTTCTGTATGATTTAGTGTCTGCTCTAGGTGCACTTGATTTAAAATAAGTTGATTTAAATTTGATTTTAAATCATTAGTTAAGAAAATACAGTTTGTTCATTTTTGCTACAAAAAGCACATTTTAAATTTAATCTGATTAGTTATTCTCAAATATAATTTTATTTTCCAAGATTATTTGGTATGTTGAAATGCAATACTTTATATAAAAAAAATTCAACTTAATTTTATAGTTACCTCAGAAAGCAAATGATTTAGTTTGTGAACAAAAGTCATCTGAAATATCTACTGCTAAAGTTGTCTCTTGCTCGTAACTGGTACAGAGACAGGCATTTTGAGAGATTTCAAACGTAGTCAGTATTAGATCAGAATCTAAATCAGTTTAAAATGTTATGTTAGTTAGCTAATTTTTTATTTTCTTCCTTTAGGAAACTTGATTAGGCTTTCCAGTCACTAACTCAGGGATATATTGTAGAGCTACATATTGGATACTCTCTATCCCATCTCTACTCTTTTTCCTAAATTCCTCACACAGCAGGAACATGGCCTAGATGGTCCTGTGCCTGCTGCATAAGAATGAGGAACTAAGTTCACACCTTCAGCACCCACATTAGAAAGTCAAGCAGTAGTGGCATGTGCAGTCAGCCTTAAGGGATTCCTACACTCACTGGCCAGCCGGTAGCAAACTTGTGGGCTCTGGGCTCAGAGACTCACAGACTCACATGTACACTGCATGTACAGATAGTACTCACTACAGGAAGCATGGCTTCCCTCAACAGAGTATATATAACCCTTCGGAAAAAAAAAATATATATATATATATATATAACCCTAGTGAAGGGGATGAAAGATCTGATCTAAATTAAACCACAAGTTAGTATTATATTTTTGATAGGATACTTTTGTTTCTTCTCCAATGTACAGTGGGACTTGAGTCCCATGAAATTTGTGGTTTATTTACAGAACAGTTTTTAAAGGTTTATGATTTCCTTGTCGCAAATCAAGGCTCATCATGGTTATACTGTGAATAGCTAGCAGTTAGCAATTACACTTTGCCAACAGGTAGAATTGAGGGTGTAAAAAAGATACTTTATACAAGAGGGAAACCAGGCATGGCAGCACACAGCTGTAATTCCAGCACTCAGAAAGCTGAGACTAGGTAATCAGTAAATTCAAGGCCAGCATGTCACAGAAGATGAATAATGAGAAAGAGAAAAATGGCCATGGCTTTTCTTGATGATACCCAACATGAAACTTGTAATCTCAGCATTTAGGAAGCTGAGATGGAAGGATTGCCTTGAGTTTGAGCCCCACCTGGGCTAAATAGTTCCAGACTAGTGTGACCTACAAGAGTGAGTCTCTGTCTCAGAAAGGAAAAAAAAAAATTAATATTGAAGTAATAATTGTATATGGTTTGGGGGTTGTATGCAGTATTTGTAAAAATAAAAGGAAGGATGGTATTTTTTCAATTTGTTTGCCAAGGTCTATCAGAAAAGGATTATTAGTGCATGGTTTATAGGCGAGCAGATGGCAGGTTGACTTGAGCTGAGGCCCTTAATCTGTTGACCTTGTTTAGACAATAAGCTACCACAATTCTATGTCAGTTTTCATCTTGAACAGAAATAGTTTTCTTTAAGTTTGATGGATGTCTGCTCTATGAAAGTGTGCTAACAATTTAAATAAGTAAAGTTTATAATAGGCTAAGAGTATATAATGCCAAGGCTGAATACTATTCATTTTTATTATTAATTATTCTGTGTATTTATTATATGTAATGGGAAATTAATAAACACTCTTAATATGAAACTATAATATTTCAAACTGTCCCACATTGTTTTTATTTTTTTCTTATGCAGAATGGAGAGAGAGGAAGCTGCTAAGGGTGTTTGTTACAATGCTAATATTTTCAGTTGTGAGAATGGAGTCTGCCCTGGAAGCATTTCCAAGGTTTTCAGATGGGTGTCAGATCTACAGTACCTTCATTAACCTGCAAACCCACAATCTATTTACAGCTGATTTTCGTTGCTGTTGCTTTTCATTTTTCCAGGGCTTCTATGTACGATTTATTCATTCCCAAATAATGAGATCATACATACCACATACGGCAGCCTTGATCCTAATTTGAATTATGCACAGCATGCAATTAATGGTCCTCCCACACGAGACTTGTATCCACAGTGGCATTCACTGAGGTGTCTGTCTGATGGTGTAATGTTTCAGGACTGGAGTATTGGTGTTTCTTGGTTTGTTGTAATTTCATATTTTCACGCAAGTTTAGTCTGTTTCCCTTTTATTTTTGTGTCCTTCCTTTCTGTGTTCTCTCCACCTCTCTGCTTCACCTGTCTTTTAGCAAAGATGAGGATTTCTACCTTCAACATACATTGTTGGTCTTGTCTTCTGTTTTTGTTAGGAGGGACAGCAGTGTGATAAAAGAGGAAATCAAAGCCTTTCTTGCCAATCGGAGGATTTCCCAAGCAGTTGTTGCACAGGTAACAGGTAAGAGCCGGAGAGCCCTTTATTCTAGAATCGTGTCTCGTCTCTGCCGTCTGTGCAGATGTTAGAATGTCACTTACATTTCCGTGCTGCAGCTCTGTCAGCTTGGGCATGGTGACAGAAACCTGGAGTTTAAACCAGTGCCTCTGATATCAGGGACATGCTCCAGTGACATTTTTTAAAACTTGAGTTAGTGAATTTTGTAACATTAGTAATAGTAGTAGTAGTACTGACAATAACTCCCTGTGTTATGACTGAAAGGGGGATGTTGTTTCCTTGGCTGTGGGAGAGCCTGTGACACATGCACATCAGCTGCTCTCTGGTTTATATTTTTAAAAGCTTTACAATCCTCTGAACCAGATCTGGGATTTTACTAGTAAAAAGTGATTCGTGAGGAAAAAACATGTTATGGGAGGTTTTTCGTTTGTTTTTGTTTTGTTTTGTTTTTTTCCTTTTTAGTTTTGGGGATTTGTTGTTGTTTGAGCTTTGGTTTTGTTGTTGTTGTTTGTTGCTTTTTGTTTTTTTTCTAGAGACAGGATGGCATGCAGTCCAGGCTGGCCTCCAACTCACTCTTGGCTGATAATGACCTTGAACCTCTGATCCTTTTGCAGCCACCTCCCAAGTGCTGGCATATATGCACCACCATCCCCTACTGAAAGCTGTCTTTTGAATGCCCTTTTCTGTATGTGAAACTTTTCCTCACACCCCTCCTGAGAAGATGAGCGTCCCCGTTGTCTTCCTTTTGTCCTTTATATCCATCCCATTCTCCACCCAGCGTAGACCTCACTCCTGACATGTGATGTATATGTGTCCTTCTTTATCCAGATTACATTTTAAAAATGGAGCTCTGAATGTGGGTGTGGGCGTGTCCTCACTGTTGGTGTGTGCTCTTCCTTAGTCCTGAAGTTCTTAGAGGAACCAGAAGTTCTTTCCAATACATTTACGTTTGCCGTGTTGTTATACTCTACCCTATGGTGGCAATCATCACCACCACCACCTTTTTTAGCATGCTGCTGCAAACTTATCCTTTGGGCTTCTCAGGACCTGCCTCAGTCTTCATACTTTGGTGGTCGCATGCTGGCATTGGAGCTGCAGCAGCTCTCCTAGCGTCAATGGTACACACTGAAGCAAATGTTCTTAAGGAGTTGTTCCTGCTCGTTAATCTGATTAAAAATGTAACTTCAGAGCCAAAGGTATAAATTTCATCCTTTTACCTAATGTCAGCCAACCCTTTATGATATGTGTATGTACTTGAACATGTATGTATTTTAGCAGTAATACACTTTTATAAATGATGTCTTTGTTCCTACTAAAAGACTTTTAAACAGGTCCTTCTATGTAGAAATCTTAATGGTAAAGAAAGATGTGTGAATTTAATTATTTAAGTCTTTAGGTATTTGTTAGTAGGATGTATAAGAAAAATTATTAATCTTTATTTTTAAAAAACTAAGTTACACTGCATAACACTATTAAGGCCAGTTGTTCAGGCATTATTGAAACTCATGATTATGCCATAATGGGATGTTGTCTTTTGCACTTTAGCCTCTAGGACTACAAGCAATATATGTTTTGTTTGCAAACTTAGGGCATGGGGTGGGGGAGCCAGACAAATTTGTAACATGATAGAACAGAATTGCAAAGTTGGTTTTGTTGAGAAGAGAATATTTCTGAGTGTTGAATGTTCTGAATCTTGAATCATCTTAGACTTAAATTTTTGGGTGTGTGTGTACATGAGTGTCACAGTGTATGGGTTGGGGTGAGAGGTATATGTTTTTTATTTTCCTTCTACCATGTGTGTGGCAGGGATTAAACTCAGGTCATAAGCCTTGGCAGCAAGCATCTTCACCTCTGAACTGTTCTGTCAGCCCAGGAAATTCTTATAATACAACCCCCATGTCCATTTTTATCACCCTCTTCTATTATGTCTATTCATGGCCTAATTTAACTACTTGTAGTTTTGAGAGTCCTGCGCATTTGCATGCTCCCAGTTTCTTGGTTTACCTAGGAAGCCTTTACCTCATCAACAAAGCTTTATCCTTTCCTACTTACCACACCTCATTCTGTTAGGGTGCCATTCTGGCATTGCCATAGTGACTGTCCTTAGGTTTAATCTTCACTTGTGATACAGTTTCTTCAGAGGGTCTGTCAGTGTCCCCATACTTGGAACATTGCATAACTTCTTGCTGGTTGAGGCATAAAGGAGCTGGTTGGGTTTAGCTCAAACCACACATCACACACTTTTTATGGGACGTTTAGTTGTTCAACAATCCCAAGCATTTTGTGTATAAGACAGTTGCAGGATTTTTGTTTTATTTTTGTTTGTTTTCTTTTACTCTGCAGACAGGACAAGGAGGAAATTAATAAACAGTTTAATTTATTTTTTATCTTTTGGCTAACTCACTGAGCTGTGTTTCTTTTGTATTATGAATTCATCACATTTGTGCCCCAGCCTGTTCAGCCATGAAGCTAATGGAAAGAGTGCTTCTCGTGTCCTGGAAGAACCAGTAAGTTAGTGATTGACCCACTTAGGTCAGGGTGAGCCTGGGTTGTAAGCCTTCCTGTCCCTGGAATATCTGACCATTACCTAGACATGCTTTTCTGTCGTCTCTAGCAAATTCTCTGAAAGTTATTTGAGTTCGACTCTAATATGTGAGATCAACCTTAAGATAAAAATCGGAACGGATGGTGCCTAACAACAGAAAATGCTAAAATAAAAAAGTGTAGCAAGGTGCCAACTTACGACACATGTGCTGTTCCAGAAGCAAATGCAGAGGCTGCTTTTTATAGATTTGGAGGGCTTCTATAATAAGACAAACAAGACGTGCAGGGGCGGGGTCTGTATAAATAATATCCTGCTGATAGAAGAAATGACAGTGTAAACAGGATATAATAACAGTGCCTGCTGAATTTCCAGCATGTTATTTGTAGATTCCTTCCCAGTAGCAGCTGCTCCCACCAGGGGTGGATTTTTACCTCTGTGAGAGGTCGGCCAAGATACTAGCTTTTCACTAACAATGATAGGGTAGAGGGTATAGGCTTGGCTTTAGTAATAAACACATGCATTTTATATTTGCTGTCAGCAAAATGTTTTCTTAGACTGTTTAAGAATTCCCTAAAAGAAGCAAAGAAGTTTAATGACCTCTAGGAAAAAATTGGGCACACTCAGAGTAAATGAGTAAATAGACAAAGGTTGATGAACGCTTATCAGCCAAAGAAATATAGGTGTCATGTCTTTGGAAGGAAGAAAGGAAGGAAGGAAGGAAGGAAGGAAGGAGGGAGGGAGAGAGGAAGAGAGAAAGAGAGAGAGAGAAAGAAAAAGAAAGAAAGAAAGAAAGAAAGAAAGAAAGAAAGAAAGAAAGAAA